TTATGCAGCTTATTAAAAAAGACTAAATAAATCAAGAGAGATAACTTAGAACATAGGTAGACTCATTATGCTAGATAGTAAGGTAAAAACTTGATGTACATTTTAAGAGAGCTTTTGATGAGATTCATTCAGATAAAGAATTATTAAGTTTTTCTAGAACCATCAAGGAAAAGATAGATTAAGTCACATAAACTCCTGATGATAACGAGAGATTGAGAATATTTAAAATATTAGATGATTATTTGCAAAACAAAAATAGAAAGACATTTAATCTCTAAAAGGAGATCAAGCATAGTCTAAAAAGTATAGTCGATTTTATTGATGAAAATTTGAAATATTTATGTTAATCCCAGAAGTCATTAATTCCAAGGAGAAATAATAAGAAGTAGGATGAAGACCAACTTAATCAAACGATGCAAAAGAATTTCATCTCATCAGCATAGTCTAACAATGATTCTGGCAAGGAAAGTTCAGTTGAAAATAAATAAGCTAAAAATGACAGAAATAATATCAATTAGAGAAAATTACCCAAATTTGATACATCGAAGCACTCTAAAACATCCTTAGGCAAGCGAGATAGAGAAGAGGAGAAATAAAAGAATAAGAATTAAAAGCCCAAAAGTATGAATAAGAATGAAAAAGAGTAAAACAATAAGCTGCTCTCTTTTCCTGAAAGACAGAGAGATTTTGGAACTTTTTCAAATAATGAGTTCAGTTCAATTGAAATGGGTGATATCAGCGACTTAGGCTCAGTTATGAAAAATTTCTCAAAACAAGGGAAGGTAAAAAAAGAAAGCAATTTAGAAATTATTTCAATAAGCTCTATGTGCGAAAGCGCTAGTAAAAAAAATAGGAGAGAATTGAAGCAAAAATAAAAAGAACAAAAGGGGAAACCATAAAAAAGATCAAATACAACCCTTAAGAAAAGGGATGATCAAGATTCATCTTAAGAAGAATTGCTTCCTATCACTGAGTAAGAAATGAGGATGGGACTATTCCATATGAAATAAAAGAAGCTTAAATTTATCCATTTGAATCGAAATATGCCAGCTTATCTTAAACAAGAGGAATTCTTCTAGGAGTCTTAGAATATCTAGAAAATCAATAATTTGCTATCAATTCTAAATATAGAACTTGAAAATGAAAAGACAGGCTAAATGGAACTTAGACATATAATGTTTGGATTGAAAAACAGAAAGTTTAACCAAGTATACGAATTCCAGAGGGATGAAAACAATGAAATACTAATCTATGAAAATCCCAAAGGCAAATATTTGAATTTTTCAGCAATGGTAGTTTATTAAAACTAGTTGATCATTACTGGAGGTAGTGGTGATATTTCCGATTAACCTTAAGAGTAAACTTACAGATACTTTTTATAAATTGATCCTGAAAATGATTAAGTTCATATGGATCGTGATGAAAATTTCCCTCCTCTAAATATCAAAAGATCGGATCATAATGCTTTTGTGTATAGACATTACTTGTTCATTATTTTTGGAAGTCAAGAAGATATTGAGTACTTAGATCTTAATGAGGCAGAACCAGCATTTAGAGTATTGAAATTTGAAAATCAGTATAACTTAATGAGACCTATGATTTTCATACATAAAGATATTAATGAGAGAGAAAGGATTTATATATTTGGAGGTAGCGCATTGAGAAAAAATAAAGTAAACAAGCTGTATGAACTTGAGATTAAATTCTAGATGCAAGGAAATGACTTAAATAATTTGGAAGAGCCATCAGCAGCTGCTTTAATTGAGCATAACTTTGACGAAGGATCTTATGGATCTTCTCAGTTTTATTAGAATCTACCAAATTAGTATTACTATGAAGATTAAAAAATTTGGATGTTCCTTGATGATTAAGGGCAACTATACAGTTTTGATCTTGAAAATAAAAAACATAAAGCTATTGATGTAAAGTTAATTAAAAAATAGAGTGAAAACAGAGACTGAAACAAAAGATTATTTCCTTTACCTTTTGAAATTATCTAATTATTAATTTTAATACCCTATTTGCAATAATATATATGCAGCTAGGGGTTTTGGGGTTTTGGGGTTTTGGGG